CTCTCATACCAGGACCTTGGAACCATCTTCCTTTTGATTCCAAGAGACGCATATAGATATTAAGTAAACTGGAAATGGCCTTCAATGGACTCTTGTGTTGGGTGGATTGCATGAGCACAGCATACCAACCATTCAACTGACTCCCGTGAATACTTCTAATTATTTTATGATATAAAGAGTTAGGTTCCTATAAGAAACACCATAACTACTTAACCAACAATGACAAGTTTTAGATGTAAGATTCTCAATGCCCACACATTTAAGAATGTGGAGATGTATTCTTTCATTGGATGAGCTAACCAGGAGAGGAAAAACTCTGATGAATGGTTGCTACTTGTGCAGAGGGGACGTAGAGACTTGCAACCACCTTTTGGGTGTACATTCGTCCATCGTCTCTGGTCTTTAGTTTACAGTCTTTTAGGTCTGAATTAGGTGGTTGATGGCTTTGGGGAGAGGAGTTGTAGTCGTGAAGGCCATTCAAAGAGATAAGCAATGTATAAGATTCATCCTTCTGGCTACCTTTTTGGCTATTTAGAAGGAGAAATATTGGAGCTTTTGAAGAGAGAATTTTCTTTTGATACTTTTAAAGATACATGGTTCTAGGCCTTTAGTCCTTTTTTTTTCTAAGAAGCCAACTGCTATGTTTTATTAAGAATTTGAGGGACCTTATTGATATTTTGTTAGTCATATAAATATCATTGAATAGGAGAGCTCTTTGGTGCCTTTCTTTGTATATAATCATTATTTTTTTTTCTTTGAAAACATTGATGCAAACGAAATCCTACCAAAAAATAAACCCTATCTACACATATAGAGTTATACTAGTAATACTCCTATTTCTAATCCTAGACCAGCAATAGTTTAGGAATACATCCTTAACCCCATTAGGACGCATCATCCTGTAGAAACTTGATGGTCCCACATCATGTTGCTTGTATACAACAAAAAATAAATCATCAAACTCAAGACAGTGAGCTTACATATCAAAGTTCTGAAAAAGAGTTCGTAAAGTCCATGCCTCAACACAAAAACCCTGCAAAATTGCAATATGTCAATATTAGAGAACGGGTAGCAATCGATAATGAAGAAGAAAACTTTGACACAAGATGTTCAATTACCCTTAAGATCTCAAGAACAAGAATGCGATGCCATAATGGCAAATCAAGAAAGGTAACCTTCACTAACATACTAAGGAAAACCTGCAAATACAAAGAAGTCTGAGTGAGAAAACTTGTGGAGTCGAAATATATGCACAAATAATGATCCTTTCTTTTCAAATGGAAAAGGAAACAGAAACAATTAATGATTAGTGAAGAATCTGACAGGTTTTGGAACCTAGCATGACACAATGAAACTAAAATTTTGCTATAAATAGATCTCAGTAGAAAAATAGCAGAAAGAATTTGTCCCCTGAATCTTCTTATAAAAAGTATCAATTGAATAAAGAGTTCCATGTAGACCATGATAGGAAAAAAGGAGTACATCAAAGTTTATCCAGTTCATATGTACATAAAGTTTTATTACAAATAATTACAAAAGACGAGTAGCATTTAGGGAACAACCAAAAAATGCAATGCACCCCTATAGCTTCTGCTCCTCCCTCTTGTGATCTTTTTTGTTAGACAGAGTTGTTACAGTTAAATCTAAGGAGGCATTACTTGTGGCATCTTCCCTATAGTTCACAACGGCACAGATGACTGCATTTTCTTCGCGAACCCTCCTTTTTCTGCATTCTCTACAACATGTTCATTACTCCTTCATTCTAATAGAATGTTAATTACTCCCTTTAAAACATAAGCATCAATGTTGTCCGGTAGGTTCCCAAAACATGGAAGAAAATAAAATTAGCCCTCAGTTTAAACAATTACATGGTTAATTAAATTGTTCCTGGTCCGAAAATCAAAAGGTTTCTGTTAAGAAGATTCTCATCAGGACAATGCCGAGCTACTTTCAAAAACAAAAAAGGATAATAACATTTCTATCCCATGGCAGAAAAAAGTACGTTGCTGACATTAAATGTTTTACTCGTTAACATTTTATTTAACAAGTAGATATATATCAAAGAGAATGTACTATAGGTAATTAGGTTAAAGGGATTAGAGCAAATTATATTTTATGTAATTAATTATCTATTTCATTTCTATGCTATAAAACTTGTATATATGAGATTGTATTATTCAATAAAATATACATTCAACCATTCCTAACACGGTATTAAAATTATAAGGAAAAAACTCTGCGCCTCCTTGACAAATCCTAATTGGCCTTCATTACCAAAATAAAACACAAAAACCCTAAGGCGCGAGCCTTCACTGCCGACCACCACAGACCAGCCTCCAATACCAAAAGCTGGCCTTAGCCGACGATACTCAGACCCTCCAAGCGGGCAAACCTGCACTTCACACAGCCAGCTGCAGTGCCTTCTGTAGCGCTCGCCCCAGTCCAGCTGCTAGAACCCAGGCACCACCTTCTGTCCAGCCGTACGCCGCCCTCCTGCTCAGCCACTCCAATCACGGTTGTTTCGTCCAGGGCACACAGCCGCGCACACCTAACTCCAAGGCACTTAACTCCTTTGTCGCACTAGCTAGCCTCTATCAGCTGCACTGCCTCCTGTGCAGCGGGTAAAACCTTCTCACGACTTTTTATTCAGCTTTAATTACTCTACAACTTTTAAAATATGGAGGTAACATTCCAAATTACTTGAACAAATTCACACATGAGAGATTCCATCTAAAATAATAACAAATTTTAGCCAATCCAGACTATTCATCGCTTTATTGGGAAGGACTACTTGAATTGGTCACAATTAATTCAAATCACTCTCAATATAAAAGGAAATCCCAGCCAACTCCTGAGAACTTGACCTAAACCAGGATATCTAACTTTTGATGTTTGGGATGAGAAAGACTCAATAGTTATAGCCTGGTTCTGGAATTTTATGTTGCCAAATATAAGTAAAACGGTCATGTTCCTGTCTACAGCGAAAGAAGTGTAGGATGTAATCAGGAAAATCTATTTTAAAGTCAAAGATACTGCCCCATATTTATGACCTGAACGCCAAGACATGGTCCACAAAGTAAGAAAATAGATCAGTCACAGAATACTACAATATGTTAAAAGATTGGTTGCAGGAATTTGACCAGTACTCCAGCCTTATTATAGATTGCAACAATAGCCTAACATGTCTCAGGTAGTTTGTGGATAAAGATTGTGTCAATCAGTTTCTCGTAAGACTCAACCAGGAGTTTGATCAAAGGTCCAAACCTTAGGTAAAGACGAAATGATATTATGAAATAAAGTAATTGCTATTGTATCTGCATAAGAAAGTAGGAGAGTGATCATGTTCGAATCTCGCCCCACGGGATAGCTTAGCATTGATCTTCGAAGGCTCCAAGTGATGCTAACCGACAAAGGAATTAAGCCAAGCTGAAAACTCTAAAAGAAACTAGACATTAATTTCAAAATATTTGAAGATCAAGTGGGATTGCATTTATACTATAACAATAAATCGGTCATAAGTATTACAATTGATGCAGCATGACAAGACCAAGATATTGAGATTGATAGGTACTTCATCAAAGAAAAACTAGATATTAATTTAATATGTACTCCATATATACTAACTAGCTCACAACTTGCGGATGTGCTAACTAAAGACCCGAGTAATTTAGTTTTTCAGACCATCATTGGCTAACTAAGAATAAACAACATCTATTGTCTAGCTTGAGAGGAAGTGTTAAAGAGAGTGTATTATATGAAATTAAGTTAACAGGCTTTGGAGTAAATTAGGTTTTATGTAATTAATTGTTTATTTCTTTTTTTACTCTAAAAATATGAATATATAGGGTTGTGTATTCAATAAAATACACATTCAACCATTATTAACAATATACAAAACGGACAAAGCATACCTCACATTCAGTGATGAGAGACGAACTGTAGAGTCGGATAATGTGAGCAACTGAGCGCAAGACCAAGCGACGAAAATAAGGCTCCCCTGTTTCTCCTTCAAGCTGAATGAACATTGAACTCAATTTTTTCTCAACAAATATAGGAAACAAGGATGCTAAATGAAAGAAAACTTTCACAAGATATACATAATTAAAGAAAAGCTACCTCAGCATTGGTTCGAAGTGAAGTCATTAAAAGAGAACATATTTGGTGACGCAACACCTGTTAGATTTCCAGGCAAACTTTACAACTTGAAAACTCTTGCTAGCAGATTTTAGTAAAAAATAAAAATAAAAATCATGGTCAAAATAAAAATCATGGTCATGAATTTTAAAGATAACCTGTTCATAGGAAACCAATATCCTGAAGACAGCCACATAATTTGATAAAATGAACCTAGAAATAAATTTTTAAAGATAATCCAAATTAGTACCAATTTGTTGCCTATAGCTGAGAGCATATAGGTAACTACATCATTTTAAACATTGGCTTCTCTTGTTTGGGGTCTACAATGCTCTTTTCTGTAGAATTACTAGTTTGTCCAAACAAGAAAATAAAAACAAGACAGCTGGTTCGACAAATTATACAGCATCCTAGACCCCAAGCTCAAAAGATACAAGAAAGAAAGAGACATAAATAGGTTCCTCACTCAAGTATATCAAGCGCAAATGTCCTTTGGAGAGAAGCAACACGTAGCCAAGTTGCCTGGAAGACAAAGGCAAAATATCATACACCACGTAAAACATTTTTTTGTGTAAAATTATTAAACAATTCTAAAGTCCCTTAATTTAGGAACAAATGATAGATGACCAATTAGCAGATGTTGCATTATAGATTCTATTTTCAAATTACTACGTACAGATCCACCTGCAGCAAAAGCTGTCAGGTCTTCAAGCAAACGCAGTCCAAGCCTTCCAACATTAGTTAGGGTCTCTCTTCTTGATGACGAACCCCCAGAAACAAATTCATGCTCCGTTGACCTATTTACAGAAAATAATAATAATAATAATAATAATAATACAACGAAGGAGCATCTTAGAAATCCTGCAGCAATAACTGAAAAATAAAAGCACAAAAAATTAAAGGTCATTAATACGAGACAGCAGCTCAACCCTTTGCAGAATAAGCAAAGAAAAATCTCTCTCCCTGCCCCACCCAACAAAAGGAAAAAGAAAAAAGGAAAAAAAAAAACCATGAACCTTAACCCAAAGGGACGCCAAAAAAAAAAAAGAAAAAATCTATCCCAAAGCAACAGGAAACGATTTTTGAACTCCTATATTTCATTCCAAACATACCCAAAACCCAGGAACTTCACATGGGATAGGGTAAACATCACATGTTAAAAGTTTA